TTCGATGACATCTGGAGCATGGTTACTTTTTCAAATTGAAGTATTGATAAGTTCTTATGCGTGCAATCTGGCACGACATTTGTTGTTTCCACTGAATTAGCACTTAAACAATTTCTCTTCCGTCTTCTTATTTTTTATGAACAGGTTGCGTAGGTGGGGCAACTGAGGCTTGCCCCACGTAGAAATATTTCTTGATAGCTCTCAATTCGAAAGACTGCAGTTGCCTTGCGCAAGAAACTGAGCAGACCATCAGCTAAGAAGACAGCAACTGCTGGAAAGCAAGGACGAGAGCCGAATCAAAAATATCATGAATGCGCTTCGTCTTTCACTCAGACGCTTTACTGTCACTACGATTTGCAGGTCATCAAGCTGCTGTCTGTTTTTCGCTGTTCGCACAGAAAAAGGAGTATATGAATCGGATGTTCAAAAACATGCTTAAATGCACCGTTTAAAGTCAGGAAAGTCCTAAACACGAATAACGTACATGCAGGCGCTGATGAAGAAAAAATTCTTGCTTCGATTTTTGTCTAAGTTTAGCAGTCCGATCAAACCGTTTCTAACTGCAAAGGTTAATTGCAACGGAACGTACAGCTAAGCATTTAACTGCGTAGCGTTAATTTTCGGCCGAAAGCGAAGCGATATAAGAACTAGTGCATGTTTATTGCAATGGGTGATAACGAACCTGAGCGGACCCGAGGGCCAAAAACCAGAGTCAGATAATTGTTCTTACGTAATCGCTAAATCTAGTGTGCGTTATTTATCGCGAAAAAGACGTTGTTTGATACAGGAGTATGATCAGGCGTTTTTGGGCCTTACGATACTCACTCGAATGGTGCTAAACCTCTTTTTTTGGTAGGTACTTCGTTATCTGTTCTTGTACGAGCGAGCGGATATATCCTGTTGTTGAATGAACAATTTTCAGGTTCAGCGTGTTGGGACCAGTCGCTGGCGAATGGGAAAGCACGTGGGACTGTATTGTTGGAAACTGGGAACTGTGGACAAAATGCAGCGTTACCTGCGGCTTAGGGATTCGTTATAGACGCAGATATCTTTTGGTCCATCCGAAGACGAACACTACCATCTGCCCGGCTCTTGAACAGGTTGAAAGGTGCTATCAGCGGAGGTGCAGCAACGAGATTGACGGTATGTGAATTTTGACACTGCACCATTTTCCATGCGCGACAAGTTTAGAGAACAAGAAATGCGAGGGGAAGAAGGATGGAAACTACGTTGATGTGAACATGACATGTACGAACCTGTACTTTTCGTGCAGCGGCGGCGTTTACAATGAAAGATTTTGCCCAGCTCGACTAGTGTTCAACCCAGACTCAGACGAATGCGACTTTCCGTGGGAAACAAGAAATTGCTACGGTAATATTTCGATAAATCCATGGCGATAGTTAAATCAGATGCTCAACAGATAACCGTTTCTTCGCTTAGCAAAGTGAAACGCATAGCTTTTCGCTATAGTATGAGATTTCGAGATCAATTTATAAACTACCCTTTTTAAAACTTGCATATATTATATCGAATATCTGAACTGATATGCTTGAAACCCATTTTACTATTTTCTATTATTTTACAAATTTATGTTTTACAAATTGGCATCAGATCCTGTTACGCAAACAATATATTTGAAAAGTGATTACCTACCTACTCATACAGTCTATTAATATTGAATGTGTGGCAGCTCTGTTTTCTAATTTGCACGAGTCTGCAACTTTCCCAAAAATGTTTCATGACGTAAAAATTGCTACGCTATTACAAAAAATATAATTTTTATGTACTCATGATGCATCTGAATAGACGGTTTAGAACAAGAAATTTCTGATTTTCCCACCAGTTGAACCTGAAGATCTGTTAGATCAGGCTTTCATTACATACCTTATGGTCAACCGTTCAGTCGTAATGAAATGCGCTGCATTAAACTATAGTACAATGCTTGTTTAGCATATTACGAATCAAAACGAATGAGTTGAATTTATGATCGTATTTAATTCATGAATGAATATTTGCCTTTTAAACGTATTTTTATTTTACGTGTTTTTTGCAAGTCAACGCTTTGATGACAAGAATATAAACGTTCATTTCCTTATAAATCAAATTTTTATAAGTCACTTTAGTTATCTGACCATAAGAAGTGTCGTCCAAATTAACACTGAAATTAAACTGGAATTTATAAAGATTAAACGTCACATCTTTTACTGTCCATAATTATTTTATATGGTTCACTCATTTATGTTCATTTTTTTCTTTTAGTGTCGTCGGCAAGGCGAAGTACGTTGTGGTATTCAGTTACACTGGTTTCA